ATGACAAAAGCATTGAGGGTGTTGCTGGTTGTCCCTGAGTCAGTGCTGGCTTCATGGAGACTCCATGCACTAAGAGTAGAACTGTTGCTGCAGGAGCAGATATTTCTGAATGTAACTTATAAAAAGAAGATCATCTGAGTTTTACTTTTCTTTTCTACTACTGTCTCATGGATTTGAGCCATCAGACTTGAGGTTAATGTCGATGGTTTTGTGCTGTTGAGTCAGAACCGAGTCAGAGATGACTATTTGAGTGAGTTTTCTGAGGCACAGGAGGAGACTGTCAATCATTTGTGTATTATTTTTTATAGATTATTCAAATAACATATTTTCCTTTCTATTTATTGTCTTTTAAGTACTGATCCATCTTTCTAACCTTCTCATTATGATGAAATAGATGTAAAAAAACATTTTTTATGTCATTATGTCCACCATATTGTGTAACCACCATCACTAGTCCAAATTTTTTCATCAGATGTCTGTCTGACATCTTTCATTAGTGTCTGTCCCTTAAACAGCCTCTGTCTACCACCTTCTCCTCCTGTTCCCTGGTCACTGTTGTTAAGTACCATCATGTTGGAACCGACCCTAGTGGAACTTCCAGTGGGTTCACAGAGTTAGTAAGTCCCATATGAGGAGATCATCCATCTTTCTTCTATGTAGCAGCTGGTGGATTTGAACTGGGTGCCTTTGGGTTGGCAGAGCAACTCCTTACCACTAAGTCACCAGAGCTCCTTGCCCTGGAAGCTACTAAAAACATTTCTTCTTTATCTGTTTGCCTATTCTGTCTATTTCATATAAGTGGGATCATACAGTATCTGTCCTTCTGTGTATGAATTATTTCATTGACTATAATGTTTTCAAGGTGTATACATGTTGTAGCATATATCAGAACGTCAATTTCTCTTTATAGCTAAATAAATTCTAGCATATGCATATAGCACATTTTTTCTTATCCTTTCATCTGTTGTTGGATACTTGGCTGTTGTGAATATTGCCACAAAAGGCTTTGGTCTAATGCTTTAAAAATATGCCATTGAAAATGGAATTGCTAGAGCAGAGAGTGGCCAAAATTATTGGGGCAGCTATTGCTGCCAGTTTAAGGCCTGTGTCAGGAAAAGGAAGTACTACTCATAAACAATGCCACCCAAAGGTAATAAAGGAGGTCAGAATTGCTTCCACTGTGGAAAGCTGGGCTACTTCAGTAGACAGTGTCACAGATGAGAGCCACAGATAGACAAGAGAGTACAGAGGAAGCTCCCATTCACTTGCTTTAAGTGTGGATCTGAAGAACACTTGGCCCACATCACGTCCTTGTGGCTGACAGGAGTGACAGGCCCCAGCTCCCAGCTGGAAACAAAGGAGGACGCTTCAATGATTCAGATCCTGGTAAGTATATTCATTTTCTCCTGAACACAAGAGCCTATTATTCAGTTCTAAAAGCCTTCTGAGGTCCCAATTCTTCTCACTATTTCTTAATTGTTGGAATTGACAGAAAACCTCATAAGCAGCTCCTTACTTCACCTCTGTCTTGCATGTGGACTTCCGAGCTATAAAACAACCCAGTGGTAGATGGAATTTGGTCCAGGACTTAAGAACAATAAATGATAGAGTTGAGCCTCTACATCTTGTGGTTCCTAACCTTTATACTATAATAGACAAAATGCTAGTCAATAAGCCTTTTATTTTAAGAACTACCTTCCCTCTGTAACTTGATTTGTGCCACTGTTAGAACGTCTACTTGGAACATTATTGCTTTTAATTTTTGACTCATGTACTTTTAACTTGTTAACTAAATTTGTGTCTTCTAGGCTGCAACAGTTCCGCGATGCATCTTCAAGGATATGAATATGTATGGCTAAGCACAACTGATAACAGTGTGTCTAAATTCCAAAATCAATCTCCACAATAGTCTACGTGTTTCTTATTGCCAAAGGGACCCTTTAGAGTAGTGAGAGAAGATCTTCACCTTGAAACCTATAGTGTCCCTTTTCAGCAGGAAGTAGCTAAGAGAATACGCTGTCCCCTTTTCCTTATGAATCAGGGTGAAATCTCTCTCAGGGAGGAGTGATAGGGAATGGCAAAGGACACACTGACAAAGGAGATTAATCAGAACTGGATTTGACAAGCACTGTGGCAGTAGGACAATTAAAACAGACTTTCAAGGAATATTTAACCTGAATCCTTCTGATCATATGGAGATTTGGAAAGTATTTCTTTGAGCTTATTATGTTTAATTTGCTTTACTTGTTTGTTTGTGTATAAAGGATGCTCATCTAGATGATAACATAATTATGATAAAAACAAAATGGGGGAAATATGGGAAGCCAATGCTAAATATTTGTAATGAACTGAATGCAATTTAAAAAAAGAAAGTATTTGAAATTAATAAATCATTGCATATATAAAAAAAAGAAAATGGAATTGCAGTGTTATAAAAAATTTTTCTTTTGGAATTTCTGAAGAATCACCATACTTAGGTAAGATTCTTTGGTAACTTTTTGTTGCTGCTGTTCAACATTATATGTTTATTTTAGTTAAGATAGATACAAGAAGTTTATTTGTATTCTATGCTGTATAGTGCTCTGTGTATGATAATGTTATCTATTATCCATCTGATAGCTATTTAGGTTGTATTCAATATTCGGCTGTTACAAACAATGCTGCTATATAAGACCAAGGATAGGTTTCTTTGTGTGTTATTTAAGAGTTTCTCTAAGAATAACATTTATCTGGGAATGTCATTTTAGAACTTCAGTAGACTTTTTATGATACTGCAATTTTCCCAATTTCTATTTTAAATTTTTATTTAACTCTCCTTTACTTATTATCACTGTTGTTGTTGTTATGTGTAATTGAGTCACCTGTGATTTATAGTGAACCCATGTACCAAATCTCCAAACTCTGCCCTATCCTGAGCCAGTCTGACTCTGATAAATTTATTACCATAGGGAAAATGATATTTCATTCAAAAGAAGTACACAACTACCTTTCTTCTTCTTTCTCCCAAACATCACAAATTAACTCTTACCCTGTAACTATTAAGTTAAAGAAGTGTGACAGCCCTATGTTTAAACATAAACCAGAATCATCTAATCACACATCAGTGTCATAAAGAGTTTTCTTAAGAATGCAGTGGAGATACAGAGGTCTTCTCACCTCTGTATCATTTTTCATAATGTCTTAAACTATCTCACTAAAACAAAAATACTCTTCAAAATCTGTGAAAGGCACTCAAAGTAAAAACACTTTCTGTTTTTGGACCACCATCTGCCTGTTTATTTCTACTATACAACCATACCCACACCTACGCATACTATTTATACATTGGGAATTTCTCTTCTCTGACTTCATGTCTACCTACCAAATCCTGGCCCATTTTTCAACATCTTTGAACAAGTGGCTCCTTCAAACTCTCCCAGACTTCTCTGATTAGATTAACCCTTCTCTTTGCAATATCTTGCATAGAACATTAAGCAACAATAAAACAGTTTTCAATGGATGGATTTGTAATATACATAGACTTTCCTTAGGATTCTATAAAGTATTCGAGGCCACGGGTCATCTCCAGAATCATGATAATCTTTCTAACGCCTATTTCAAGAAAACAGATAAGTTCAATATTAGTGAGAAAACTGCTGAGTCTCTAACATTAATCCTTTTCATGGGCGAGATCCTGTGTGATGGTTAGTTGTAAGGAATTGTGCTGGCAACCCAACGTACATGATTCAAATCCACTGGCTGCTCAGTGGAAGAAAGATGGACAATCTATTCCTGTGGGATTAACTACCTCTGAAAATCCACCAGATGATCAGTTAGGGGTTGGCTCCGACTCGACGGTACACAACAACAACATGCATATTATTTTAATTTCTTCCTGTGATCGTGTTTATAGAAAGGAATATGTCTGTAAGGGAGCTCTGATGGCCTTGAGGTAAGAAGCTGTGCTGCAATCCCAAAGGCATGCAGTTTGAATACATCACTTGTCCTGCAGGAGAAGGATGGGCTATATCCTTCCATGCAATTAACATATTCGTTACTGTTGTACTGTGTATCATAGAGTCAGAAACAATTCCTAGCTGACCCTCTGGTGGGTTTTCAGAGGCAGTTAATCGCTCAGGAGGAGATTGCCCATCCTCCCATGGAGCAGCTAATGGCCTTGAACCGTGTGCCTTTAGGGTTACAGTGTAGCTTCTTGCCACAAAGGCACCAGAGCTGCCTCTAAAAACCCAGTAGAGGATCACCTATGGGCTAGTTTTCACTTGATGGCAAATGACAACAGCAGCAGCACAGCAGCATTCTGCCTACAGAGGAACTCTAAGTGGTTTTATGATAAGGAGGTGGGTGCTATCGATTCAGAGGTACTTCAATCCACTAGCTGCTTTGCAGGAGAAAGATGGGCACTCTCCTCTTGTGCAATTAATAGACTCTGAAAACCCTCTGGAGATCAGCTGAGTCGGTTCCAACCCAGCAGCACCTAACAAGGTCATATACTGTTATAAGGAGCCGTGGTGGTGGTGTGCATTGGGCACTAAGCTGTCAATCTAAAGGTCAGTGGTACAAACCCACAAGTGGCAACTCGGAGGATGGGAAAGATGGGTCATTTCCTTTCATAAAGGTCTGCAGACTAAAAAAAAAAAAAAAACAATGGAGAGTTGCCTTGAGTTAGAAACTGAATTTCTGGCTTTGGGTTTGGTTTTCTGATTTCATTCTGTCTGTATTTTCCAAAGATAATCCTAAATTGGAACATACTATCCAGAAGTTCAGAAAGAAATATGAAAATGAATGACCTTGACAAAAATCCTGCACTCCACAGTCTAAGCTCTCAAACAGAGGATACGGTTTGAGTAAACCCAACAGAAATAAATAGTTGGTGCAAATCAGGAAAACAAGATGTAAATACAAAGCTGATTTTCAAAATGCCTGAATATTAAAAACAAACACAGACCAAAAAACCTAGGAAAAAGAAGTAAAATTAGCTTCAAGTATGTATGATGAGTTACCTGCATGAGCAGAGAGAGGTGAGTGCGGTCGAGGCAATGCTGGTGACTGCCCATTTCCTATCAAGCTCTTCCGATTGCTTGTTCTGCAACTGTCAAAAGGAAAGGAAAAACAAAGTTTTAAAAAGAGATAGCATCAATAATAATAACCACAAGAGTGTTCATCATAAGAATATTCAGGAGTGGCTCAAAGCAGGCACGGGCTATGTTTCACAATCTATCTCTTCATGCTATTGCTAAAATTACTACAAGTTAGAGTTCATTCACTGTCTCTGTGGAAAGCCTCTATCTCAAACATAATGTATTCACATAGCTTAGCTTCATCAATATTCTTCACCAGCAGTGAAGCTATAATCAAATGCCTTCTTTCCATTCTTGACTGCAAATATGTGACATGTCGTACACCCTAGTAATAAATTAAGGTTTCAAATCAGCAAACCACAGGTAGCATCTTTGTTGACATGAAATTTGTAATACAAAATTACACGCAACCAAGCTCAATGACATTAATCTTACAATGATGCACTAATTAAAAATCTAATTATTTAGACAAATTTCCTATTTGTGGCTTTTGTCAATAGAACAGCTCAAAATAATTGTATTTCACCACTCACTCATTTTTCATCTTGAATATTTCATTCAAATTCTTTAGTAAGGTAAATGTTTTGAAACAATAAAGACATTACAGTTAGGATTAAAGTAACAGTGATGGTCTTTATTTCCAAAGCTTTGTGCTGTTAGTTACTTTTGAATGGGTTCCAATATGGTTGAAAAGAATGAAATGCTACCTAGTCCCACACTATCTAATCAACTGCTAGCATATAAGGATAAAATTGTAGTTTCTAAAATTGTTCATTTGATAACAAAGACACTTTCATAAATCTAAGAGTAAGATATACATAAGATTGGTTAGAATTTTTATCACATTTTCATTTGCTTTTCTTCAATACACATGGGCACATCATGGAATACAATAGTTAGTAAAGTCTAATAAAACTGTCATTGTACCTCACTGAATTCAACTAGAACAAGGCTCTAGTGACAGTGACTCTTATCCTCCCAAATATGTTGGGCCCACTCATCTTTCATTAACTATTTTAATTATTAATTCAGAATAACAACTTAATTGTTATATTGGGTTTCTGAAATGGGAATTTCTATCTAAATTTGCAATTATAAATTAAGTATACTGAGTAAACACATTCTGGAATTTTATGAAATATTTGGAGGCAAGATTTCTAAATATTGCACCCCTGGCTTTTCAAATCATATCTTATTTCTTGCATTAATATTGGCCTAAGAGTTCACTCTTTCTCTTAGTGTTTGCTGCTTGTTATAATTTATCGACATCCTATATTTATAATTTCTTAAGGTCAGGCGCTATCATTTTATTTTCCTTACTGAGGTAATCAGCAACTCTAAGCATTATCTGTGAGTTTAATTAAGATCATGTTTACTTAGCCTTAAAGGAGTTGTTGAGTAAGAATAGACCCTTGATACTTAATTATGAGGGTGATTTGTGGTATTATCAACTCATCTACCAAGAATTGTATTTGACCTATTAAATTCATAATCATTAAATCATATAATTTGTTTAATAAAGATACTGCATAATGTATTCAGTGTTAGTTCATAACAATGTCTCTTCATTTTAATACAAGAATATTAAGTATATCAATTTGCTGATGCTAATAAAAGAAAAATTATAAGTGGCAGATTTATATTTTAAAATATTAGCATATTTTGCAAACCTACTGAAATTATCACTTCATAAAGACTTTCTTTTGACAAACCCAACTATTAATATTTACATATTTAAATGAAATTATTAAGAATTGTATTTCAATAGAAATCTAATATTTCAAATAGAAATACCATTGAAATATGTTTACTTAAAATAAAAATTTAGAAAATGCTATTTCATTAAGGAGAAAACTTTTTAAACATGGAATTTTCCAAAATATTTCTTATAAACAATGACTAGTGTTTAGATTCATAGAAAGCAAAAAATCCACAACTGTACTGATATTTTTTTCATGTGTTAGGTTATTTATTGGTTTGCAAAAAAATCATTCAAACACATACGTTTCATACATGTACTTTGTATCCTATAAGATCAATAATATATATTGTATATTATATAATTAGTGGGAGGAGGAGGAAGGGTGAAGATTAGGGAAAGATTGAAGATTTGAAAGAACTGTATTGATATTTAAAGATTTCAATAAAATACTTGGGAAGTTCTTGGAAATGTGATTCAAAAGCTTTAAAATAAAGGACAGCATCAAATAATACTAATAACAACAAAAAAAATCTAAATAAAATCTGAACACAAAATACATTTCTTTGGTCAATGTGAAAGTTTGTCTTACTCATCCTGAGTTTGCCTACTTACTTCACTACAAGACTTAAAATCTTTACAAATAGGTAATTTATTATAAGTAGGATTTAGGGCTAAAGAAAAGTGACATCTGTGAGCACAGTAAGTTGAAAGAAATGAAAATCAAACTTCCTCAGAATCTGAATTTGGATTATAATTCTTAAAGTTCTAGTACTGTGTTGCAAGGAACTCTGATGGTGTGGTATATATTGGGTCAGCCTGTTAAAAAATTGGTAGTTCAAAAACACCAGCCACTTCACAGGAGAAAGATGGGCAGTTTCTTACCATAAAGATTTACACTCTTGGAAAACTGAAAGAGAGTCACTGTAAGTCAAACTCAACTCAAAAGCAAAAAATTTTGGCTAATATAGTGTAGAAAACCTTAAATAAGCAGAAAAACTTCTTGGTAAATTCTATGACAATTTAAACCAATAAGCTGAAAATGCTTTCTCTAACCTCTATATGCCTCTGTTAGACCACCAAGTTTACTCCAACTCTTAGTGACCTTGTGAACAAGAGATAGGACCCTTGCCATATTCTGACCTTCAATAGTAAGCTCATTATTGTTGTCAGGGCCAGCGAGTCCATTCAGACTAACAGTAACCCTGTGTACAACAGAACAAAACACTGCCTGGTTATACACCAGACTCACAATCATTGCAACATTTCAATCCATTGTTGCAGTCACTGTGTGAATCAGCCTCACTGAGGATTTCCACTTTTTACCACTCTTTTAGGGATCAGTCCTTCCTAGTATCATGACCAAAGCACATGAGGTGAAATGTCTCCATTCTTGTTTTTAATGAGCATCTTGGCTATATTTCTTCCAAGACAAATGTGTTCATTCTTCTGACAATCAATGGAATATTGACTCTTTTCTGGTGATACAGTAATTTAAGACATGCACAGCTCCCTATGCACTATGCCACCAGAACTCCCTAATGCAACTACATCGATTATTTGGATTTCCTTATTTATTGTCCCCCCTTTTTCATACACATGAACACCTGAAAATATTATGGTTGGGGTCAGACACATTTTCATCTTCAAAGTTGCATCTTTGCCTTTGAATATTTTTTTAATTTTTTTTAAATTCCATTCATTCATTGTTGCACCCTTCTCCCCGCACAAACCCCTCCCCCCCC